GATTTAGATCATCACATATGGTTAATCAAGCACTAATCGAAGATGATTATCCTATAAGAGATTAACCTAAACAAATCCTTAACATGTATTTTCACAAACTATTCAAAACAAAGGGATCCCAAGTCTTTAAAGTATTTCAAGAACTCATATCATTCACTAAACATATGTGGAAGCATATTAAGGAAACACATCTCAACATGGGGAGAAAAAAACTGCCTCCTTTATTTTCCCTTTGTGCCTTACTCCACATAATATATATTTTACCAACATAACACTTAGCCGCTCAAACCCTTCCATAATTGGCAACGAAAGACAAGGTCTCATCACATTTATCACAAGAACTATTACCTAGTTATCATATTTTATATATCATCCATTCATCAATAGGCCATCATATGCATTAATTTTCCTTTTCATTCACATTAATTAATATCAACTACTCACCATTGGACATCAAAAACATAAGGGGAGACCATAACAACATTCAAGTTATCAAATTAAGTAGATAATATTATTTTCACTTGCATAAATATTTTAAACCATTAATATAAACACAAGCATCAAATCACATTTCCAAGAGTCTAAAATACATTTTCACCTACACAAAAATCATAATGCAAGTGGATATAGAATGTTATTATCCTAATTGGCAATATCACAAACTAAATACACATATCAAAATAAAAAGAGAAAGGCTTATAGAAGTGATTATTATCACTTAGTCTAATGATCCTTTTCCTTGTTCTTCCCAGATGAGTTAGCTCCTGTAATATGTTAAAAGAGAGAGGGTGAGTACAACTATTTAGTAATCAAGGTACATCTAAGTTATACAAATGCATGATAATCAATCATGAATGCAAATGGCTAATAAATTCATCAAGATGATCATGGTAAGCAATGAAATCAAAATCATGCTAATCATATTAACATCTAACTCATGTGAATAATCTCAAAAATAAAATCAAGTACAAAATTGGCATGATTGCCCACATGTACTGAATATTCATACAAAATTGGCATAAATGAAACAAATAATAGTATTCACATATTTACCACATGTTCGCATTTTCATAATTATAATCAGATTCTCAAACATAGCCATCAATCACCTAAATGGCATGATAGTAATAATATACATGATTAATCTCTTCCTTATATCTTCCCTTATTTCCTCTGACATGAAATCTATGGGCTAACAACTGAAAGGGATCGTCCATGTGGTGAGACTACCCAAGGCTTTAATCATAAGTTATCAGGCCAAAGTTACCTTACTCACTTATGAATATGATTTTCTCCAAATCACACACTATGGGGTGTCATACCCAAGATAGTTCTACCTAAAACTCCAAGTAGGCCAGAGTTAAATCCCTTAATAGAAAAAATGCTACAATACCCTACAAGGTGTAGCGGCTATAACCCCTAGGATTATCAGTTAGTAGTCAAGTACTTATGAATTTTGCATAACCACCTAGCTCCTTCACTAAGGCAAACTCTCATCATATGATTACGCTCACGAGAAAATACATTTCAAAAACTCTCACACACACACACACACACCACACACACACCACAACACACACACACACACACACACACACACATATATATTTCACAATTAGCACACATACTCATCAACTTTCTTGCTCAACAAGCATCAAGAATCATCATATTTCAATCATGCCTTTTGGTATTAATTTTTATATTACCACCTAATCACATGAGCATCATATAAAACTCAACATGCTCATATACAATTCATCACTATGCATAATCTACAATTTATAATCAAGAGTATGCATATCATCATCAACCATCAATCTCATTACTCAAATCATGTCACATAACTTGTCACAAATTATAGGATCTCAACAAAGCCACAATATGCATTACAAACAACAATTCAAGATTTGAATACACACACACACACACAACACACACACACATATTCATTTATTTCACAAATTAATAATAAATTAACGCACAAATGCATAAATAGATTTTTCCCTGCTACCTCACCTTTAAAAGGTCAAATGTTACCCCTCAAATTATAACCTTTTAAAGCTTTCAAAAAGCTTAATTGGTGCTTAATAACAATTAATTAAATCACATCACAATGTGTTAATAATATTATTAACATAATTTTCACTCATATTCAACACTTAGGTATTTATTTTATTTTATTTCATTTTTTTAAGACCTTAGTCTTAGCCTCTTAAGTTCTAAATTTTATTCCCATATTTGAACCTATCTACTTGGTTCAATAGCCTTCTTCACAATAATTCATTGAATTTTGGTTAAAAATCATCATTCAAACAATTTTTTAATATCAAAATGCTCCTTTTTATTCCAAAAATTAGCACCTACAAATGTTCAAAAATTGAAAACTTAGTCTCAAGCCTAGAATTATTATTCTATGGCTATAATAATTTATTTCTCATTCTAAATAATTATCTAAACATCAAAAAAATCAATTGTATTTTCTTATTTAAACTTACCAAAATCTACCCATAGAGATATATGGTTTAACCAAAAAGCCTCAAATTCAAATTTCATCAACAAAATAATATTTTAAAATATTTATTAAACTACCAACAACCTAATAACCAAATTTATTCATAAAAAATTTATCCCTCTTTCAAATCTTAGGTTTTTTAAAATATCAAAATCTGCAATCAAGAGAAAATATGACTAAAAAAATATTTAAAAACACTTGCCTATTCTTAAAATACTTAAAATTTTATTCAAAATATTCTATTATGAAGCTTTATCTGGTAGACTAGCTCCCATCGCCAGTGTCTCGCACACGCTTTCTTTTTCTTTTTCACACTTCTCTGTTGTGTGCCCGAAGAGGTGAGGAAGGGATCGAGACAAATGAAAAGGGATTGAGTATGTTTTAAAATGGGTGTGAGTCCTACACCTTTTTCTTATATCTTCATATATAATAATAATAATAATATAAACACCAAGGCCCTTTCCCGAAATGAATTCAGTGGCTTCCTTTTTTTTTTTTTTAAATTAATACATACGCGTACACCAACGTCCCTTCTCCCTTTCTTTAATATATATATCAAACACACATACACAGAGTAACCGTCCCCTTTTCTTCTTCTTTTTTTCTTTTATGTTGTGGTTGTTGTTGTTATTATTTCTATTTCTAAAAAAATCATAATTCAAGATTTGGATTTTATTTTAAAATAAATCCAATAATAATTCCATAATTAAAATTATTTATCTCTAAATATTCCTCTAAAAATATTTATTTGTCTTTGATTATTTAATTAATCTTAAGTTAATTTTTGAGATATTACCATTGCCATTTTAGAGTTGTTCGTCACAAGAGCAAGAATCAGAGCTTGGAATACAACCATTGGA